GATTTATAATTGCAGTTTATACAATATGATTTATAATTGCAGTTTCTGTAATAAAAGTTACAATAAACGAAAAAGAATAAAAAAAAACAATTTTAAAAACTAAAATCTAATTTACACGTGAGTGCTGTGTGTGTGTGTGTGTGTGTGTGTGTGTGTGTGTGTGTGTGTGTGTGTGTGTGTGTGTGTGTGCGTATGTATGTGTGTATGTTTGTATAATATTTTAAATAATGGGAGTTACCAGGGATCTGTTTCGGTGTAGTTTAAGCCCAAAAGCCATTCCGTTTCTCTTGTTTTTAAGGAATATTTATTCATGCAATATATTGGAATAGCCTTATTTATCCTGTTGTAAAGAAGACTACCAAGATAACAGAAGAATTTACGAGAAAAATTTGTATAACATTTTTGTCTTTTACAAACTATACTACCTCTACCCGAGATTGGAAAAGACATGCTATTGTATGGTAGCGAAGAATGTTTTTTTTAGAATAGTTTGTAAACTAAACATTTGCCTAACAGTAAGTACCCTGCAACGTTTGTATAGTTCAGCCGTTGGAAATAAAAATGGTAATGAAAACCCAACTTTTAGAATCGCTCTTTGCGTGCGTTCCAACCCTATATGAGGGATTTTTGCTGCACCACCCCATGAAGTTATACCGTACAGCAAAAGAGATTGCACAAAAGCAAAATAAACAGTTTTGATCACTTTTGTATCCGAAGCATTTCTAAGGTTTTTAAAAACATAAATCAACTTTCTCAATCTAGATGCCAGAGTAGCTATATCTTTTTCAAACGTTTAAGTTGTTATCTATTATAAAACCAAGATATTTAGCGTACTCAGATTTCTCGATAGTTGGACAGGTACAATGCATAATCGAGTCCGAGGCAATCTGAGAGTTGGTAAGGTAAGAGTTAAAGGCAAAAAGTAGTAAAGTTAAGGTAAGTATGTTCTTGTTTAGCCAGTTCACAACAATATTTAATCCTTTTTGAGCATTACTAAATGTCTGAGGCCAGGAATCACCATCAAAGAGAAGTGCCGTGTCATCAGCAAAGGTAATTATTTGTCTATTTGGAAGATTTAGATTGCATAAGTCATTTATGTAAGTTAAAAAGAGTGTAGAGCCTAGTATACTGCCTTGTGGTACACCAAAACTAACAGGCAACTCTTTACTCACGTAGTCTTGCACCTTGACACACTGAGTTCTTTTCTGCAAATAATCCGAGAAAAGTTTTAGCTGGAGATCACGATTGCCAAGGCTTTCTAGTTTTTTTATCAGTATGGGCAATGAGACTATGTCAAACGCTTTGGCTAGATCAAGGAAGACGATCAGTACAGTTTTGTTGTGATCTAGCATCCAACTTGGTGACAACAAAACGTTTACGTTATGAATGGCAGCTTCAGCGGATTTGCCCGTCCTAAACCCAAATTAGTTACAAGATATTAGTCCGTTTGTTTCTAGGTATTTTATCAAGTGTTCATAAGGCGCTCAAGAATTTTGGACAAAGCTGGAAGAATGGATATTGGCCTGTAGTTACAGACACAGTTTCTTTCGCCAGCTTTGAAGATGGGATGAATCAGAGATTTTTTAAACGCCATGAGAAAGACAGCTGTTGTAAAGGAAAGATTACAGATGTAAGTAATGGGTGGGAGTAGTATATTCTTGAAGGTCTTTATAAAACTTGTTGATATATTATCAAGGCCTACTGCGCAATCGGATTTTAAGTTTGAAATGATACCTAGTACTTCGGATTCTGTAGTTGGTAGGAGTACAAACTATGAAGGAGTAGAGTTACAAATTGCACATTAACAGTAGATAGATAGTATAGATAGTACATATATTTATGTGTAAATAAGTAGTAATTACTTGTACTAGAAGCAAGTATACAGTTTGCATAAGTAATTGTAATTTAGTTAAGCCATTTTTACTTGTGTAATGGTTATATCCTTGTTATGTGTTGTTAGATCTGCAAAAAGGGATATTATATTGTAATCTATTATCACATAGCTAATATAAAATAGTATCTAAATAATATACATAGTTACATGTTGTTGATATAAATCCATAATTACAACTGTGTATTTGGTCATCTGGAGCTGATTAATGGTGTATATTTTAAAACAATTTCTTATTAATAAATAACATACTGGAAGAGACAACAAAATACTGACAGAAATATACAAACGTAGTTTATTGAAATTGAAGTATAGTGTATACATAATCTTATCTCATATCTCTTATTCCTGAAAATGTCCTGAATTTAACAATAATATCATACATAGATGTGTTTTTTTTTTGCTTTAAAGTGTTCGAAATGCAAACCAATACAAACATAAACATAGACCTCACATGCTATTGAGATAGCAATAAATATAGAAAAAAATAATATATACAATATTTATTAACCTTTTTCAGGTGAATCGCTTACAATAAATGTCTTGTAGGCTGAAATCTTGCAGAGCTGCTCGTAGGCAGAGACAAAAAAGTATATGGATATTGAATACAACTACAATATATCATATTTCAAAACATTAAAAATATGCTTGTTATGTTATTATCAAGTTATATTGAAATGATAATGATTTACAATAATAACATCATAAAACACATTTAATTAAAAATTAAATATTACAATTAAATTAAACATGTGTTTTTGTTATCCTTACACAACCAGTTTAAAACATCTTAGTTCATATTTATGTGTGTAATAACATAGATAAGCATGATATTACCTAGTCATTTTGGCTTTAATGGTATTTGGGTTATGATAACTAATCATTTAATATATTTTAAAGCAAAGTTTACACACTGCACCTTTACTGATTCAACCAAAACATATTAAAGTCTTGACACCGCACCTATCTGTTCCACTAATAGACTACTTTGGAAATAATTACAACAATAAATGCAGTGGCATTTTACTTTGTGTTTTAGCCTTATACAACCAGTTTAAAACATCTTTCTTACTGTATACCATGTAAAGGTAATATTATAAATGGTCATATTATCCGTTATTCATCTTGTCTTTAAACATATTTATTTAATTAATTTAATGGTGTTTGTGATGTATATTCACTAATCAATTAATACCTGTAAAAAAATGGTCCCCACACTACGTTTGTTTGTCTGTGCACTACGTGAAGGAAGTGTTTAAAAGGATTTTCCATCAATCTTAAAGTACCTATAATTGCTGAATATACCCACAACTTTCTTTAATACTATAAATTAATAAGCTATTCTATTCTATATACACTATTATAACTTATAATATCTGTGAAAACTACTAGAAAATCGCTTTTAGTTTGTTTTAAGGTTATTGTGATATTCATATTTCAATTATTAATTTCTCAGAATTCCCACTCGATGCGATAAAACTAATATTAAATTTGTAATCTATAGATTAATAATAATAATAATAATATTAAGTAATTTAATATAATTATATAAAGTAGTTTAATATAATTATATTGAGTTAATAGAAGGCGTAGGGAAGTGACGACCCCATCGCCCGCTGACGTAACAGTTAAGTGACAAAACTGCTATGTCAGCGCAGTCAGTCAGTGCCTTGCCAAGAGGTGTGAGCGCCGTGCCTCGGCAGTATTGAGGGTGCAAAGGCCCGTTTGTGCTTACGGCCACACTATTAAACGGCGCCGGGTCTGGGCGTCTCCCGTTAATTGACGCCCAATTCAATGGATGATGGAAAATAATAGAACGCGCATAGGGCCGCTGCCTGGGGATCGCTGGGGCGCGTCTGGAGCTGGCGCTGGACGTGACAGCATGCGAGCCGCCAGCCGAGCGCGAGGTGCTGCACGACCACCTAGCAGCCCCTCGCGTCCATCATCCCCACCAGACGGCTTGGTGTCGGCGGGGTCCTCTCGGACTCGGCAAGCGGCACCCGCCGCTGGTGGAGTACGCCGCATGCGTTGGACAAAAAATATGAACATAAACGCATTGCGGGCGTACTATAGGGGGAAAGGGGAAGAAACTGGAGGGATAGCGTATCGGGCTCGGATGCATCGCTTTTTTGCTGAGCTTGAGCCGTCAGTTTCCGTCACGGAGCAAAACCTGGCAGACCGAGTTCGGTACATCATACGCTCGAAAATATTTGATGATGCCGAACTCGAACGACTACGACGTGAGGCTATTCCCTCATCGAATGAACCGGCTATAGCTGGGGATGCGGCTCTTCAGGCCACAGACCAGCAGCCACATATAGAGGGCGCCATGGATCTCCCTGCTCTGGTTGATTCAGGCGATGATGGAATGGTCACCCAAGAACTAGAGCAGATGAGGAGTAAATTGGAGGAGGCGATTATGGAAACGCGCAGTACGCCTCTCGAAAATCGACCGCGACTCCCGCGCATACCCCTAAGCAAGCGGAATCGGGCTGTCGTGAGGGCTCTCAACCCAATGCTGGTCACCTATTTGGAAGCCAGCCGGGACCTTTGCGAGACGGACTCAATTCTTTTTGGCGCCGCACTGGCAGTTTGCCGTATTGTTGGCGCCAAACTTCCCACGGCTGGACGCGCTACTAGACAAAGTAGCGCCATCCCAGCCTGGAGAAGAAGGGTTGAGGACCGTGTCGTAAAGGCAAGGGCCCTCATCGGCAGGCTGATAAGCTTCAGGTCGGGCAATAATAGGCCGCGAATTGTGCGCACCGTCAGAATGGCGTTTGCTGGGACAAATATCAGTTTGTCCCAGCCGGATATAACGCAAAAACTGACGGAGCGCATAGACGACCTGAAGCAGAGAATCGCTGCTTGGGGGAAGCGGATTCGGCGATATACCGAGAGGTCGACACGGTTCAACCAGAATCGTCTCTTCCAGAGTGATCAGAAGAGGCTATATAAATCATTGGAGCGACCAATGGTACGTGGAACGGGCCAAGCACCGAATCAGGCCGACACTGTCGCATTCTGGCGCGGCCTGTGGTCAGAGCCCGTAAACCACCGCGAGGGCCCTTGGACGGAAGTTGTGGTGAGTCAGTGTGCGAATCTTACGCCCATGGACCCCGTCATTATAACGCCGGACGATGTAGCTGAGACGGTCCGAAGGGCCCCGAACTGGAAAAGTCCGGGGCTCGACGGGCTGCATCACTACTGGCTGAAGGGGTTCGTGGTGTGTCACGCTGTGCTTGCCCGACAATTTCAAGAGGCTCTCGACCAAAAGTCGCTCCCGAGCCTCTTCACTACTGGGATCACTCATTTGGTTCCTAAAGACCGGGATACCATAGACCCGAGCAAATACCGCCCCATCACGTGGTTACCCACGATATATAAGACACTAACATCCATTTTGAGCGCGAGAATCACTCGTCACCTGAACTCAAATCAGGTGATGTCGCGCGCTCAAAATGGATGTCGGGGCGGTGGTCGTGGAACCAAGGAACCACTCCTCATTGACGCGGTCATTGGCAAAGTGGTTAAACGCAACCGTCGGAACCTATCCGCCGCCTGGATAGACTACAAAAAGGCATTCGACTCGGTGCCTCATAATGGCTGGAGAGGGTCCTCGAGCTGTACAAGGTTGACTGTACAGTTAGAGACTTCCTTGGGCAGTGTATGGGGCAGTGGAGTACAATCCTTTGTCATCTGA